AGGGAGTAAGTTTCTAAAGAGACTGTGGTGCTGCGTCGTGGGTAAGTATAACAAGGTAATTTTGGTTTTATCAACTGAGTTGATAGTGTAAATTGGCCACCGTAAAGAATTTCAAAGCTGACGTTTCGAACGTTGGCCCTTCGACAGAGCTCTGACGAAGGGCTAAAACTCGTCAGCTTTAAAACCCATTACGGTGGCCAATTTACATTCTCAACTCACTGGACAGAACCCGGTATCAACTTATCAGATGGTCAGTCAGTGAGTCAGTAGATTGGTCAGATGTGGCAGTCCTTCTTTAGAAGTCGACAGTCAGTCACTCGGTCACTTACCTCGAGCTCCTAACAAACTTTTACGATGCACAGCCCTGACGTAACCCCGCCAAACCATCGCTGCCCCACACAAGACCCCACACCTAAGCGACTAGCTTCTCCAGTAGTTTGTTAAGTTGATGGTACCATTGGAGAACGATTTAGATAGGTAACATGAAACAGTGTGAAAATAAGAAGCGAGCAAATAAATCCATTCCAAGCAACCGTGGGAAAACCTGTTCGATGCCTCAAACGTCTTAGAAATTAACCATCGGAGATTCTCTTAAATAGCACAGCTTTTCTCCCAGTATCTAATGCTAGTCAATGTTTCAATGATCGTCGAGGTGAGAGTGCGGAACTTGTCCAAAATGACAACCATATTCTCCCAGATACTAACATAAACGACTGAGAACCATTCAAGTAGGTAACATGAAGCAGTGTCGCAATATGAAGCGAGCAAAGGAATCCATTGCGAGCAACCGTGGGCAAATTAAAACTGTTCGATGCCTCAACCATCTCAGAGATTAACCATCGGAGATTCTCTAAAATAGCACAACTTTCTCCTAGTATCTAATGCTAGTCAATGTCTCAACGATCGTCGAGGGGAACTTGCAGAGATTGTTCAAAATAACAACCATATTCTCCCCGATACTAAGAAGAATGACTGAGAACCATTCAAGTAGGTAACAGGAAGCAGTGTGGCAATATTAATCGAGCATAGCAAACCGCTGGAAGCAACCGTGGGAAAAATTATTCAATGCCTCAAATATCTTCTCGACAAACCAGCAGATATTCTCCATCATGGCACAAATATTCTCCCAGTATCTTACACTAGCCAATGCCTCAGAGATCTGCAAGATGAATATGCGGAGATTGTCCAAAGTAACAACCATATTCTCCCAAACTGTAACAAGAACGACTGACAATGATTTAAGTAATTTGGATATATCAACAAAGTTGAAATGGTAAATTGGTCACCGTAATGATTACAAAAGCTGACGTTTCGAGCGTTAGCCCTTCGTCGGAGCGAATAGAGGAATTGTGGGTTGTGTGTGCTTTTAAAGGCAGAAAATGGAGCTACGTTATTGGTGGGTGCATGGCAACGAGAAAAACATGAATAAATTAGTGGAATGAAAAGCGTTCATTGATCCCTGTGGGATTTAGACTGCCGGTTTGAAAGATGAGCTTTTGTTCAAGATTTTTACGGCTTTCCGTGCCACCTAAGTGCAAGGAAAGACCGCAGATTGCCATATGTTGCTTAGAATGATTAGGTAAATTAAAATGTCTAGCGACTGGTTTCGATGTGTCCTTGTCATTCCTTTCCACGTCTCGAAGGTGTTCTCGGAATCGGTCACCTAGTCTTCTGCCTGTTTCGCCGATGTATATCTTTTTGCAATAAGTGCAAGTTATGCAATAGATTACATTAGCGGAGGTGCACGTGAAGTGATCGGTGATCTTAATGGATCGTTTAGGTCCCGATATTTTATCAGTGTTGTGAATGAAAGGACACGTTTTGCATCGTGCACGAGCGCATTTAAAAGTGCCTGGTTGCTCATTAGTCTGAAAAGAACTTCTGACCAAAAAATTGCCTAAGTTTTTGTCGCGTTTGAATGAAATGAGCGGAGGCTGCGAAAAGATAGTGCCTGTCTCTGGATCGTTTTGAAGTAATTTAAAGTTTTTAAGAATGATGGATTTAACTGAGTGGTTGTGAGGGTGAAACGTGAGAGTGAATGGAATGCGGTCGGAATCAATGATTTAAGTAGGTTACATGAAACAGTGAAGCAAAGATATGACGCGAACAACGCCATCTGTTCCGAGGAACCATGGGCGATACTGTTCAATGCAACAAAGATCTTCGAGATAAATTAGCCGAAATCCTCCACGAGAGAACAAATATTCTCCCAGAGTTAAATACTAGCCAATGCCTCGAAGAAGAACACGCGGAGATTGTCCATAATAGCGAGCATATTATCCTACACTCTCACGAGACATGTCTCGGTTAGATGAAGGAGATGAGTAAGCATCGACCAACAAGAGTACCTGGAAGGAAACACGCTTGTATTTATAAAGGCATAAGTAAACAGAATGGTAACAATAATTATCGCCGTCACTTTTTTACAACGTCCGCTCAAACGATCCACTTTTCGTAGAATTATCCTGCCTTGATTATTGCAAACGGCAAACATGGAATCAAAGAGTCTTTTTTCCTCTTTCACTTTTATGGATACCTTGTTAGAGGCAACTCTCGTGCCATGTTTGTACAAAAGCATCACCAGTCTTACTACGCTGCACAAAGAACACAGTTTCAAAAAACTTCTCCATTTGAATCTCAAATTTAAGGCCCAATCTGAGAAAGATATAATTAGGTAACACAAAACAGTAAACACGCCATTTAAAGCGAATAACATGGTGGACCTAAAGTATTACAGACCTTATTCATACATGGTCGCCGCGCGGAAACGGCCTGGTTTCGAATGCATGAAAGCGAGGCTGGGTAGGCCAAGGTTCACAGATCAAAACAAAACCGCAATGGCGTCTCAAAGATCTTCTGATGGAACTGCGCGCGTGATACTCACAGAAGACGATATTCCTATATACGATATTCCTATATACGACATTCCTATATACGATATTCCTATATACGATGAATCGAGAACGAATCTCTACCAGTCTATTTAGTTAATGGGCAACTGATGAGATCCACAAGATTAGCATCGAAACCGCGGTCTTGCCTGACCATCTACTGAAAATGTCGGAAGACATTAAAACGGCAGATGGGCTACTAAACGCCCCGGGCCAAAACAATGCCATTCAGAGAATGAAGAAAACATGGAAGCCTCATATGACACCGCCACTGAAGATGATCTACTCGATAAGTCTGAGGATAACGAACAAATCCCTCTGTACCAAATGCCTTGCAGAACATCGATCCTATAAAGAGTTTCGAGATAGAGTAGAAGACATTCTCAGAAATAACCCACACGTTCCTAAAAATGATGTCTGTGCCTTTCACTATTACCACAACAGTGAAATATAAGAAGGAACTCAAATATCCGCATAACAACCAGAAATAAGATCGTAAATGGAATATCGACTCGACTGCCACAATAAGTATGAGGAACACAGCGAAAATTTTTATCGCAGCAACTGCTGCGTGACCAGCCAAAAAATGTTGTCTCAAGCGATCCATCTTGACGTGAATGTTCCTTGCTCTGATCTAGATGATGGTACATAAAGAATCAAAGAGCTTCTTGGCTCGTTCAACTGCATCATAAACCTTGCTAAGTAAACTATTCTTTTCAACGCTTCCACGATGTCTTTTCGAGTCGTGATTGTATTTACCAGACATCCGTGTATTTCCAAATTTCACTCATTATTAATAGTAGGATCGCGTATGTCATAGATGTTAATTATACCTCTAACTTCAATGGACTGGGAACCAGACCCCCGGACAAGCCACAGGGAGCAAGGTTCCAGTCCATTGAGGTTAGAGGTAAACTGCTCTAGCATTCCTCAGCCTTCGATCAGTTTCAGGTTGGAAATGTATCAAATGTAGTTTGCAGATATGCCACGCACAACACGTTTTGCGTTTTTTTTTTCCAGCCGCAATGGGACTTGTGGTTGATTTGCTACTTGATGTACAATGACAACAACACGACTTAACGAATAAAGCGAAGATCTAGAGTTAGCAATTAACCGCGTTAAACCTCTGCGCAATATTAGTAGGACACTTTTACAAAGTAGCACTGACTGCCTGTTTACCATTTCAACAACACAATCCGTTAAATCGTCTGAAATAATTACAACTTATAACTTTTCCTCAGTAATTCCGGCACGGGCTCCTGTTACGGGTGTGTCAATTTCATTATGGCCTCGCGAAGGACGTATACTGATATATTTTACTTGATATCATACAGAAATTGGAAATTATGGGACATATATTCACTATTTCATGGATATCACCAAGATATGTATTGCCTAAACACTTTTAAGACAGATTTGTTGGAGCATGTATATATACATATATCCTTAGTTTACGTGGCTGCGTTCATAAGAGGCATTGTGTAGCAAGGTTACACAATGATATCCATTGCCATTTAAGAATGATAGGTGGTACACGGGTACATCTACATGGCCATTTTTGTTGGACGGGTGATAGTTAAACAAGGCTCAAAAAGCGTCACTTCAGTTCAGTAAGGATGGTCCGAACTGACAATGTACAAAAGAACAACGACCGAGTTCAGTATTTGTCTTATCAACTAAAGTATTCAAACCTAAGTTAAATATGGAGTTCATAAGGATATTCGAGGAACCCACCCCACACTTGCTAATATCTTTTTATCTATCATTCTCTTTGGTAGAGATCGACAAAGATGACTGATGTCTTTGTTCGACAATGGTGGACCTCTCAAAATTGATGACGGTGACTCATGGTCCGACATCTGTTCCACGCCTACAATTGTACCTCCAGTGAACTCCAACCCAAATAAACGTGATTTTCAGTAATAATATCAGACTACAGACTTTGTATGGGAGTCTAATAAAACGGGGTTTTTACTGGGTAAGTAGAGCTGTCCACTTACGAGTGTCCGTTAAGGGAGCTTCGGCACCGATCAGCATATAAAATACGCCGTCTACACATGCTATGTATAATCCCAATAATGTAAAAACTGCAACGAATCACCACCGAGATGAAATTTGCGAACGGTGAGAATTTATTAACACATATTGTGATAATTAGCCAGTCAGTATAATCCTACACAATGCATTGATATTTGTTGGGTTTTCCGAGAAGTTTACCCGCTATTAGCGCGCGCACATAAACAAAGCAGCGGCTCTTTCAGTATGGTTTGGCAAGCGCCTGATAAAAAAAATGAGTTTTATTCATTATCAGATAATTCGCTGCCTGATGACAGTTCCAACACAAAGGCCTCATCGTTCACAACTTCCTCCATCATCGATTCGTCTGATTTCTCGTCATCTGGAAGATAATCGATACCACTCAAATTAGCATAGGTTTTTGCTACCTCAGCATGATCAATAGGTTTAGGGGAATCCAAGATACCACCCCATTAAAGCAACAGCGAGGAAATGTGATTACAATTAATCATCCGTTTCTTTTTAAGACAAGCTATCATTCTTGCATTAAGAGGGTTATCAGTGAGGCAGAAGCGCATCCACTGATTCGTCTATAAGCCTGATTTCGTTTTGGAGAAAAGAGACAAGGCGATTCATTTCCTCCTTCAACAGCTCAAGCTCTTCCTGACACCTGTTGTGTAAGCAGAAAAGGTCAATTATCTGCCTCCTAACAAGAGCAGGAACGGTGTCCCCTTCCTCTTGGAATTCAGAGCAAATGCTGCTCCTGGGATCCTTAGCATCGAAAAGAAAATTCAAAATTCTTAGCAAAGAATTTGGGGTACATCCTTGGGAAGATACCCATTTACTTCGGACAAAGTTTTGAGGATGGACTTCACGACTTTGTTGATCTGCTTTGCGAGCTTTATGGCAATTGCTTGGCCATCTGAAAATTAAAAAGTTCACAATAACTAAAAACGCAATGCAGTGGCAGTTCCTTGGGTTAGACGGAAAAATGTAAGTGTGCAAGACTAAGGAACTGGGAAAATTTAGCCCTCATACCCCTTCTCAAATGGGTAGGTAGGAATTTCGCCTTTTACAAGATTAATCACTTTCGAAAAGCTCAGGTACTCGCTAATGTAAAGCATGAATTTGGTGGGTGGTACTTCCACACCCAATATACCTGGGTTTTTTAGACATGAGGAGCACGCTGACATATGATTCGTCCCACTCGGCAGTATTAATCCTGTGACAGATTAATAATATATTAGTGAATACAAAAAGCCTGTTTTCCCTACTGACTGTTAATAAATGCTGAGGAATAAAAATAACGTGTTCCTTTGGTTTTAGCGCTACAACTTCTTCCCTTTGCCACTCCTCTTGTATCACATCATCGTCACAACTTAGTACTGGTAAATACATGTATTGCAATAATCATTTTGCATTTATAATCATATAGCATTTACCGCCTCCCAGTTAGCTCAATGGATAGAGCGCTGGACTGTTGTGCGGGAGGTCGAGGGTTCGAGCCCCAGCCGGACCAACACTCAGGGTCTCAAAATAATTGAGAAGAATATTCTACCTTTCTATAACATCAAGAAATGATTTGATATTCTAGCCTTCTCGGATAGGGACGATTAAATGGAGGTCCCGTCTCCTGCAGGGTTAGGGGCAGGAGACGTTAATTTTCCACGCACGAGATTACTGTGGGATGGGTGGGTAACAGGACCCCCGTTGATACCAGTGTTTACTACACTGAAGGGGCTATCCTGTATAAATATAAATGTCTACTCTACTATGTAAATCATTATGCTGTTTTTCAATGCAATAGGTAAAAAAAAAAAGGTTTGAAATGTATACCTGGAAGTTTTTCAGCGAGTTCCTCAAGCTTTGCACTGACATCCTGTAGAAGAGGTTCTGCCCTTGCAAACTTTGCTTTTAGAGTAACACCTGTGAAAATTAAAAGGAATCAGTTTAATGTGTGCTAATAAGACTAATCAACCTCGACTTACATCTTAACACACGTCCTTATTGAAAAAATAAAGAATTGAAACTACGACAGAAAACACAGGGTAGATAAAGCTGTCCGGCTAAAGTTCTTGTCAATAGTTGATATATCTTTTACTTTTTAGCAAAACCCACAGAACTGTGAAAGTTATGTGTTCAATAAAATTAACCATACCAAAATTTGTGATACAAATGTTGAGCATAGTAAAGAAGCCCATCATTCAAAACATCTGTCCTTTTGTGAGCACTCATTTCTTTGGTGACAGAGGAAAACCTATGCAGAAAGTACCATAACCTTTCCACCCCTTCATCATCTGTCAATCCAGTTCACTTGATCCTTCTTGGACTGTACTGGATCTACAGACAATCATATTGAAGATACAACCTAACCATTAATATGGCATGGACCTTGCATCAGATAGTTAGCCAATACATGTACTAGCCTGCAGTTCTGGCAGATTATAGCCATGTGAATGAATATTTCCAAGTCAAGTGTTCAAAGCACCATACATACATATACAGACATATATACATAAGTTAATTGATCACTCCCCATGGGGGCTTTTCAGGGACAATTCCCACCCAGCAACCACCCCAGGGGAGGACATCCATCACACAGTAATCTCGTGCATGGGAAATTAACGTCTCCTACCCCTAGCCCTGCAGGAGATGGGACCTCCATTTATTCGTCCCTATCCGAGAAGACTAGATTATCTAACCATTTCTTAATAGAAAGGTAGCATATTCTTCTCACTTGTTTTAAGACCTTGAGTGTTGGTCTGACTGGGGCTCAAACCCTCGACCTCCCACACAACAGTCCAGTGCTCTATCCATTGAGCTAACTGGGAGGCCGTTGAATTAGGAAAACAGTGGAGAGTTGGAGCAAAAAAAAAAAAATGTTTACCAAGCCAGTAGGCATGAGACCTCCTCCCACATTGCATTCTCACCCCAACATTCCAGTAAAACAAACCCTCAAAAGATGACAACCACCAAAACCACCTGCACTGCAGGCTTTGTACTTCAAAATTTAATTTTCAATTTAGATAAAATTAACCTCGAGTAAAGGCTAACTGGCCGGTGGTCATTTTCAAAGCTGATAGGCTTATGTAGGGTGTCCACTCTTTTATAAGGAACATGTACATGTGCTTAAATATTTTACCTTGCTTGCTTAGCTGACCCTTGCAGATCATTTGCTTTCAATTTTGGAAACTGCTTTCAGATTTCTGATCCCACACTGCTCACCCATTGGTAAGTGTGAGATGTTCATTATTACAACTGTATCTCACCAATGTTGAGGTATTGCCACACATTTCTTCGCATTGTCACAAGGCCATTTACCATTAAACTGATATATACTAACCTGGCATGATGCCTTGTGCCCATAGAAATAGAATAGAATATGGGTATGACAACATCAACACTTCCAAGAGGCTTTCCAGAGATGAACACTAACAAATATAATCATGTAAATGAAAATTGTGTCAGCAGTAATAAACTATTCTGAAGTTAAGATGTGATCCTCACAGATATTCATGCAATTTAAATGCAAGCAATAATGGAAATTTAACCAAACAAAAAGAAGAAAAGAATCTGGCCCTATTGGGATTTGAGCTCATGACATTGTCATTGCAATGCTCTAGCTACCCACTGAGCTATGAACCTCCATCTGTTGGGAGCAAGCCAGTACCCATGAAAGGACGTGATGAAACAGACAACGGAATTACATGACCTGCAAAAATGACATTTTATTTGATTAAGGCAGTTGCTCAAAATTCAGTTAAAAACTCTGATGATTACATCTTCATTTATTTCCACAGTTCACTTAATTCCAGTCTGTTCCAATAAATTATTTCATTTCATCCCAAATTTAATAGAAAATACTTTGGGCAATTCTACATAATTAAATACCACTTTAGATTACCATTTAGCCTCCTGCACATCCATGTTCAAAACATTTACTTACCTTCAAATGGTGTGCTAATAAACAAGCGATGTCATACATGATGATTACTCTGCTTCTGGTGCTCTCATAAAGACTTCTAAGCCTCTTAAGCTCACAAACAGAGTATGATATTCTGTAGAGAGAAAAGATTATTGAAAAAGTGAATCAATAACCAATTTTTCTTTTTTATATCTTTTTACACAAAATCTAAGACAAATTGAATATATTTCCTATAATATGACATTGAAATTAATAACAAAGTTATACAATGGCGATGCTAATAGTGTAAAGAATCATAGGATGCTCCTGTATTGTATATACAAGTGTGCTAATTGTCAGCTTGACAAATTCATAATAATCATGGCTCTATCATGTAACTCTGACAGACAATACAGGTAGGATTGAGCACAACATTAGGTAAAACGTATTTACATACTCCATACCTTTCACCATGCTTTACGTTATGGAATCCTTTAGGAAAGTCATGTCTGCATACTCGCCCAAAGACGCCTACTGTGGGCCGTAGAACCGCACTTCCAGAAGCAGATGGCGTAATTGTTTTCGATGAATTAAAGTTTTTCGAATGCAAGTTTGTTTTAAAATGCAGTTGTTTACAATAAATCTTCCCTCGCTTTCGACCCGACATCTTGAATTGTGCCTGATAACTTGCTGGGCAATTTGATTAGCTAGTTTTAGCCAATAGCAGTGATCTTTGCTGTAGAGCAATAATATTTCTAATGGACAGAGCACGTAGTTCTAAAATGTAAAAGTACGGGCTTAGACCATTTAGAACACGCGAAATCTGTTTGAGGGCTGATGACAGCATTTCTGAAGGAACGGCCGCTTTAAATAATTTGATCTGAACCTGTAAATGGCAGCAAGGAGAAAGAACATAAAATTAATTTGTTTGTCGTTTTCTATTTGTGATTAGACTTGCTCTGCCTCCAGTTTTTCAAATGTGTGAGGCAGAGGGGGAAAACAACAATAACATTTTGAAATTAGATTCAGTGCGCGCTTTTCAAAAACAACACTTGGCACGTGCATACTAGACAAAACAAACTGCGAATAATTATAGATGATGTTGTCTGAATTTGATTGTCTGATCGTTTACTGAAAATAGTAATTGACTTCGCGCTACCTGTGAAAGAAAAAGAAACAATTATTGTTTGGCAGGCTCAAAGCCAGCCTTTCGTTTGGAAACCAAAACTGTGTTGTCAAAGGGAAAAAAAATTGCAACATCGCGGTCTCTAAGGCAAGGACAGGAAATAGGTCTCGAAGCGTGAAATAGGCATGAATGAAGTGTTCTTTCAGAAAACCGGTAGACTCATTTCCCACCCCAGTCGTGTTAGGAGAGTTTTGCGTTTTCTCGGAATTCTCGCCCTCGATTTCATGAAATGTTCACTTTCAAAACAATATTGCATTATGGCGGATGATTTGGCCGAGAAAGTTTTCAATGTTATTTGTAATACTGGCGGATTTGTCGAGCTGTCTTCTCTTTTGACGGATTCATCGCCTCTGAAACACATCAAAAGCAAACTAGAAGCGAAGAACTGGCTGATTCAACACGCTGGTGGCCGATTCGTTGTAGTGAAAGACATAAATGATGAAGTCATAGGTGTTCGCGTTGAATTGAAGAAGAAAATTTGTAAACATTACCTCGAAAGAGGTTCGTGTAAAGTTGCAAAAGGCAAGTGTAGATTCTGGCATATTTGTAAGAGCCACCTAGAGGGAGACTGCTATGGAAAATGCCGTCACAATCGCTCGCACGATTTCTACGACAACGACAACGAACAAAAGACAAAAGATTTGAAAATCGCGAAACACCCGAATGGCAGATTAAAGAACCTTGTTGCGTGGAGCCTACCACAGGTTTGTCTGCTGTATTTGAGAAATGATTGTATTTCGGATAAATGTCCATATCTTCATGTGTGCTCAAATGTTGTCCGAGAATTGCCTTGCACTAGTTGTGGGTTATCGCACAGTCTGACTGATTTTCACAACAAGAATATTCTAAAGCAGTACGACTTAGTTCCACACAAGGGGATGAAAACCACTTTTGTTTGTACCAGCATTTTGGTCATGAAAGAGCAAAGGTCTTTTACTGGGGAGAAGCACAGAAGCCAAAATGCCCTAGCTTCCCCAGCGAATAAATTAAGCGACTCCGCCACTCTTAGTAACGCAACGGAAGACTGTCCGCAGCGTGGGACGACCGGGCAGGAGTCGTCCTCGTGTGGTGCAAATGATTGTCATGTGAACTCAAATTCTGAAGAGATTTCCGGTGGTACTGACATAGATGCCAAGAAGAACGAAACAAAACCCGACCAGCCAAAGTCAAAGAAACAGCAGATACAGAAAAATATACCAAAATACGTGAACGATTTAGCAAGTAGTGTAACTGCTTCAGCAAGCTCCAAGAAAAATCCCGGGTTTTTAAATATAGAAGAAGAGGAGGAAGAGGGCCACTCGGACTCATCTTCAGAAGACAACAAATCTGAATGGAAGAGTTTCCTCTCCGCTAAAGGAAGTCAATCGATTCATCAGACTTTCGAGTCGAAACCAAGCAACAAATTGGTTGATAATGATCCCAAGTTTCTTGAGGCTAAAGCTGTGTCAAAGGAGGACCCTAAAGTGGATCCGTGTACCTCAAAGGGTGCAGCCAAAGCCGGTACTATACGTAATGATCCGCCTGTTCTACCCGCTTATAGTTTTGAAAACGATTTTGTGAAGAAGTGGCTTCTGGGTGTTGATGATTGTTCGTCTGACTCCACTCAAAGCCTTGAACACCCCCAAACTAAAGATAAACCAGTTAGACGCAAGCGAAAGTCATCCATTTCAAGTTCATGCAGCTCTGCTCCGGATCCACAAAAGTGCACTCCCTTCAAGAAGGCTGTCTTTGACTGCATCCTGAAAGAATACAATGGCACTGTTCCTTTTCGTATCATCTCGAAAAGGAAAGACTTATTTACGGAGGGATGCGGAGATATTGCTACATGGTTTAAAGCAAGAAAGGAAAGCTTTCTCCTTAAGCAAAGTAAAGATGGTACAATTATTGAAATCAGCGCTTATTGTAGGCGGGTACAATTTTGTTTCAACCAAGAGCATTGTTCAAAAAAGGAATGCTCATTTTTGCATGCGTGCCGAAATTACATCGCTGGTTTCTGTAGATTTGGTAGTGGATGCCAAAGAAACCACACTTTTAAGAACGATGAAAACAGAAAATTTATTTCTAAACTAAAGTTAACTGGGTTAAGCGAAGAACAGCTGCGTAAAGTCGTCCAGCTATCGATACCCCAAGTATGTCTTGACTATAACGAAGGATGCTGTGTACTTGGAGAGAGTTGTGGAAAGATACATATTTGCAAGGATATGATAAGAAAGAGGTGTGCGGATCAGGGGATTTGCGGTCTCGAGCACGAAGAAGCGCTACTGACGGCTCAAGCAACCGCTATTCTCAATAGATATGGCTTGAAGATCAAGGATGGTCACGTTCACTCAGTGGTACGAACCCTTCTGGTCTGCGAGAGGAAACATTCAGTTGACCTTAACCTCACTGTTAAAGAAACTATTTCAACAGCAACTAGTATGACATCTTCTAACAGTGCAGTTGAAAGCAAGGGAGAGAAGAAACAGAGTGGCTCCAGCCCTTTCTCACTTACATCTGTTTCTGTAGCCAAAACAACCAGCACTGTGTCAACGACAAGTCCCTCGACGATGACTAAAGGAGCAACTGGTAGCAAAAACAGTAGCTATCAGCGGAGTGGTCCTTCACCTCTTATTGGTATTGCCACTTGTTACCCATCTGATCATATAGACAATGTGATTGTGTCTATTCGTAAAGAAATCTTTCCCTCTGGGAACAGCGGTGAACCATCTGAACGAAAAGTCTTTGAGTGCTTGTGCAAGGAATACAATTGCTCAGTTACGTTTTCAGTTATTTCTAAACGTACTGATTTGTTTCCTGCTGGATTCAAAGACGTGGAATCTTGGTTTCGTAAAAGAAAAGGGAGCTTTCTGATCTTGGAAAACCCAGACGGGAAAATTACAGAAGTGAGTGCGTTTGCAGCAAAGGCTCGGCTCTGCTTCAGTTACAACAACGCCCACTATGGAACTTGTGCGAAAGACAACTGCTCATTCTTGCACATCTGTAGAGATTACATCACTGACTCCTGTGCTAACGGAGCAACATGCCCTCGGAATCATCAATTTTGCAACGAGAAGGATAAGGCTTTGCTGTCTCAGATCAACCTCGAAAAGTTCACAGACGAGCAACTTCGCCGGCTTGTGCTGTCTTCCTCGCCATTGATTTGTGTAGAGTATAACGATGGTATCTGCGATCGTGGCGATGCTTGTCCTAGAATTCACATGTGTAGCAACCACTTAAAAAAGTGTTCCCGAGAAGGACGCGGTTGTCTCTTAGAGCATGAATCAGCCATGACTACTGATCACACCAGAGCAATTCTGGAGCGTTTTCGAATCGATCACTTGAAACCAGGCGCAGTGAAGAAGGCTATTTTGCTGTTTGACGATTTGGCACAGAGCAGAGAAACAGGTATTTTTTACCAAGAAAGCGCAAGTTTGATTGTGCACATGTATTTAGCAATATTTGTGATACAGTATTAGTGCAAAGTTACACTTGCTTGAATTTTATTTGTCATGAGCAGCTTTTTTTACAATGATTTTCCATCTGTGGTCATTGTAAGACAACAGAAAGGTATTGCATTAATCGATGATCCTGTGGCAATATCAGTCCGAAAATATGCTCAGTCATATCTCGCAACTTCTTCATCAGTCACACTGCTGTTTTCATTTTCACAGGTCATGTTCACAGTGATAAGCCAGATGCACCTATCTGTTCGGATTTCCTTCTGGGAAAGTGTAAGAAGGGCATGAAGTGTTCAGGGCACCACTGTTCGTTGCCTTACCACTGGCAATACAGAGTTGAGGGTGAAGGAGTCTGGAAGAGTTTTACCGAGACTGACAATGAGAAGGTAGAGAAATTGTACTGTGACGCAATGATGGATGATTGCTCAGCCACTGGCTTCCAGCTGTCTTTCGAAAGGTGAGTTGAGAAGAGTCGTTTAAACACAGAGTACTTCAGTTTGCAGAGGCAAGCCTAAACTATTTATACAGGCTTAAGTCTAAAAATGTGGGTTTACAAGCTCACTTCCTTGTAACCTTAGTTATTCAGGCATTCTTAGCTATCCGTTCTGTTAAATCGTGTAGGTACAATCTTTCATCTCATCCATTTAAAAGACCTTTATTGACAAGCCCCTTATGTTTAGATTAAGACTGATCCACTAGTTTAGTTTATGTTTTAAAATACTGTTCTAGATGCCAATTCCTTATTGAAAGGAGCCAGTAATAAGGAAGCTGTTAAATCATGTACCCGGAAGTTCATGTTATTGAATTGGCACACAGATCCTTGTTAACATAAAATCTACTTTTTCAGTGAAGAATTCTTTTTCTTTGATGAAGAGGATCCTGTGAATTTCCTGTTTGAAAATAAAATGATGTTTGTGCAGAAAGATTTTGAAGTCTTGGCAGACATTAGGCGGCTCTACACGGAACCCTCCATCGATAAACTTGGTAATCCTTTCGCATCAACGTGGAATTGGTACTGGAAGGACGAAAATGGCATGTGGCTGGCGTATGGCTCAGACTACTTGGTAAGACTCACTTAAATTTAATGTCAGGTGCCACTTCTGGGTGAAATGGAAAACATGCCAAAAGAAAGTAGTACTGAGGAAAATAATTTAACAAGCTCATTGGGCTTTTTAAGCTTTGTTTTTGGACTTATTAAGACGTAGACTCTTTAGAAAACGTTATTTCGATCACATCGTTAAGAAAAAAAGAATGAAAAGAAAACATATATGTATTAAACAAACAAATCAGGATGAAGCGGCGTCCGCAAGGGTTCCTGAAGACTATTTATAACTAATTTAAAATTTTTGTATATTTTCAGGGTAACGATCTTCAGAGACCCATAGAAGACGCCTTCTCATCCACCACAAATTGTTTTAAGTTTAAAATTGCCGAACAAGACTATGCACTGAATTTTCATGAAATGCGACAAGAAAACTTGAGGTATGGCACTACACGACAAGTAAGAAGAAGACCAGCAGAATTTAGATCAAGCGCAGACGTCCGGGAGATTAGAAGGTAATTTCAATATACAGTCAAAACTTTCGCAATGGCCACCTCTGAGGCTAAGGGAGTGTGGAGAGGGTGCAATACGGCACCTTTTTTTTTTTTTTTACGAAAGATTGGACTACATTTCTGAATTTCTAAAAATGGTAATGTAGCCTATTCGTAAGGTAACACACCTAAACTGAAGTAATTCAATCGAAAAGAAAAGGAACGAGGTACAGTGTTTAATCACGTATTCAATGTTTACTGTATGAAGAGAGGGAAGTGGCTTTTCAGAGAACGTGCCATGTTGGCCTGCTCTGGGGCGGGTAGTAAAACCAAGAACGCCAGAATATCAGAATACCTCGGAGCGGTTCGACTCAACAAAATTCTCGTTCTGTTCTTTTGATGCTCGCGCTGTGTTGAATTAAATATTGCTTAAAATATACAACATACTCTGATCATTCAAGCAAGAGCATAATACTCAAAAATACTGTTGTCAATGAAAATTGTCCATGTTTCAACATTGTAAACAAAAGTCACTGTCAGAGATATGTACAAGGCTCAAGAAGTTGTTTGTCAGTCAGATGCTATAAGACAGTCTGGTTCCTGAAAACTGATTGGTCAACTTTGCAGTGATCCTGTTTGTTACAAGACTCTTGAAAAGCAGCCTTGAGTTGTGATTGATAAGTTGACTCTGATCTTCATGTACTGGTTAAAGAGGAACTAAAGTTACGTCACTCCATTTGGCTCAGAGAAAATGAATGGTCGTACCTGAGGTTTTTCAATAACCATACTTAAATTATAAGAAAATTATTAATACAGTACATATACATAATATGTAGACT